TATTGCTTTGTTCCTGTCAAAATTGGGCAAGATACTGTACAGTATATTAGATTGAGTAATATATGTATGGGAACATAGCTCAAATAACAGGCCCAAATTTGGCAATCCTGAAAAGATGCGATCGCTTTACAACTGCAACAGGTGGTGCCAACCATCATCAACGGTTCATAAGGCCCCAGTAGCTCTTAATGTTGCAGGCTCAATCAGATGAACATGGCATAACTAAATTTGTGCAGTAATCAAGTCAAATTTGGAACATTGCGGTGGCTATCAGCAAATTCACGAACCAAACGCTTCAGAACGCGCCCACCTTTCCCTTGCATGTGACCATAACTATTAAGTCCTCCATCACAGCTCCTGCTCTCGATATAATCTGAAGCTGCACCAGCAAGGGCCTTAGACCAAACCGGCACTAAAGTTTCAACTTCCCCTTGCTTTAGGTATTCGGCAGGAAGAGCCTGAACCTGCTGTAACTGAAATATTTAAAGAGTCTGGCATCTGAAGAAAAATACAAAGTCTAACATCACATAGAAGGAACTCTGGTCACCAATTTTTTTTATATTTATTTATTTGGTGCTTACGTTTCGCATTGGGAAGAATACATTCTAAGTAGAGATAGAAAGACATAGAGAATTTTTCTATGCAGACAGGCATAATTTTGGGTATTAATTCACTAATGCCCACTGAATTTTGACCTATTTCAATTTGCTCTTTTTTTTGGTCGAATTCTCATTTTGGTAGTGAATTTTGTATTATTTTGTCCCTTCAATCTTGAAATTTGTGTTTAATAAGGACAAATTATAACTTCTGTTAACCTTTTAATGAATATTATCATGAGCAAGCCAAGCGACAATTTAATCAGGGATATTTCAATGGCATTTTTCTCACCCCCTACCCTTTCCCACTATTAGTCACGGTTAATTCTTGGAGAGAGAGAGAGAGAGAGAGAGACCGCTGAATGTAACCATCCATGTAAAGATTCCCAACAAAGAATAGCCTTCCAGGTTGTTCTCTCGCTTAAACTGCATATTGCTGCCAATTGTTGCAAGATAGTTGCACATTTGTGAACCTGCAAGAAGCAATGGCAAATAATTACTAAGCTGCAAAGTTATGTAGGCCATGTACCAGTCAAGGTTAACCAAATTTAACTACCTATGTTCTAGATGTGACAGTAACCTTTTTGTCACCACGTTATTAGGATAAAGTGCGATTCTTCTTAGAAATCAAATGCTCTGAATGGAATTGCATTCATGAAACAAAAAACTGGATGCCCATTCTTAATATGAAATCTTGTGCTCAAAGACAATGAAAGAGTGAAACTTATATTCATCGTAGGTAGTTTCTCCATCACTTTCCTGTGCTTTTTACCAGTGCAAGGATGATATAAAGGATAGATACATATACATTATTTTTACTTGAATACTATTACTTACATAGGTTAAAAACTGAAATATGAGGATATTGTAAATTTACCCGTGACATTGCTGAAACACCAAGCAAAGCATAAATCAGATTTGATACAAGTCCCTCGCCACTATGGGATATGACTTGAATGGCCATTGCACTGAATGATCCTTCAGGGGTACAAGTCATAGAATCCAACAAAGAGGCCAGGCCCACCTCCAAGAAACCTAGTAGGTCCATACAAGTTAGTCAAAAAGCCTCACTTCTGTCACTCAGACACAGGTGAGATCAAGCTCAAGAAACAGCATTATTCTTGTGAAGAGACAAGTGCAGGCAAAAGCTCAGACAAGTAAATAAAATTTACTATAATTACAGTGGTTCATCTTCCACAACTACTATTCTTGTTGTCAAGACAAGGTTAAATGGAAATGGAACTGACTTAAACAATATGATATATACACTTGACCTCAGCTGATGACCACAAAAGACTGACTTCATATCCAACCCAAATCACAATGATGCTGGAGTAAAAGCCATGAAAGAGTAGAAATTTGATGCATTTATAAACATAGAAGAAAGTTTATGATGAGGACATCTTTGTCAAACCCATTAGGGTTTACAAAAGAAAGGGATGGAAGAGGAAGTCATTTAATTTGGTCTTTAAATCTGGCTATTTTTTAGTTTCTAACTTGTTCTCTAAGTTTTCCAGATTTTAGTAGGATTTATAAGTTTCCTATTTTATTTAGGTTAGAATTCCTGTTTTAGCAAGGGATTTTTTTTATCCTATTGTCTCTAGGTTTTAGTTTGCTATAAATACCCCTCTCATGTAATTCATTATGGAGTTGTTGAGATATAAAGAAAAGTTTATTTTCCAGAGATTGGAGACTACTCGGTGTGAAGCCAAACCACTGGAGTGATTCCAGACCTATCCCTTTTATTCTCTTTTCTGTTTTTCCATTGTTTTCGCTTCCGCTAAACTACCTAAATACTCAATTCACCCATATCCTACATCAGTTTATTACCAAAAAAAAAAAAAAAAAAGCTGTGAAGGTAAGCATGTATAAATGTAAGAGTTTCCACCAGTCATACAAAAATCATGAAGCCATGCTCATAGAAGTACGACTGGAATACAAAACGCACATGAAGCAGCATTGCAGCAACTTGTAAATTTTGCTTATTGATGTTAATAGAGTTAAGAGTAAATTAACACTATGTTTGGTATTGGAGAAAAGTGGAGGGAGAAAAAAAGGGGAGGCAGAATAGGAACGGAACATTAATTTTTTTTATTTGGTAGGAGTGACGGGAAACAAAAAATGAAGAGACAAACTCTAGGGTCCTTGAAAAACCAATCCCCCACATTGGAGAGAGATTGGAAGAGGGAACAAGGAAATCTTGTGTCATTCCATTAAATGAGGGTCACATCATAAGAACATGATTTAATGCTCCTTTTCCAGCAATCGAGAACAGGAAAACCTCTCCCCTACATAGGCCTTTTCTTTCTTCGTAGGTTAATACTTTCAAAGAAAACTCTGCACCAAGCCTTAACTGCATATTTGACCCTAAATCACAAACCAATAGAGCACTACAACAGAATGAAAACAATTATTTCTGGTTATGGTAAGTAGAGGTGAAAGACAATATCAGCTTACAAGATAAGTATGACATGGACGCGAGTGCTGCGCCACGATGCATAGCTGTGCAGCATATAGCTGCCTTTTGAAAGGAAATTTCAAGAAGGGTACCAGATGCAGCCACTACTTCCTGAGATGTCAGACGATGTCATATTGATTTACTTCATAAGATATTAAACTCTCGTTTGATCACTTAAATTACAAAACAGAGGAAAAAATCACAAAATGGAAAGTGTACAAAACCTTACGAGTTCCGCGAACATATGTGGATGCAAAATTTGTGTACGCCTCCACTAGATCAGGCTCTTGGTCACATATATATGAAGAATTAAGAGCCATTACCGATGCTGCATGTGTAAATCTCTCCAAAGTGGTGACAAACAAGGGTCCATACTCCTCTTTGTTACCAAATTCTTCAATGACAACAGATGCTGAAATGGTATTGAATATGAAGAGAGAGGAAATAAGTGCTACATGGCACCCAAAAGCAACAACAAAAGAAAGATAAAGAAGGAAAAGCATAACCAACCAAATGTTAGAACCGCTCCCCTAAAGTTGCAACTCCTGTTCCTACTAACTCTCAAAAATGATAACAACGAATCATTCCTCTATCCTTTTTTTTTTCCAGAATGTTTTTTTTACTATCTGTCTGCCTGCCTGCCTGCCTGCCTGCCCATTTGTCTGTCTCTCTCCCTCCCTCCCTCACTCCCAATCTCAGAAATATAATCCACTTCGCGCATAAATAATGGTTCATTAAAAAAGTTAATAGCAAAATTCTAAAACACAAAATTTTGCCTGAAGTATAATATCAAATATCCTACCAGTTCTTATGTAGCATTCATGACTTTGGAATGACACATAATTTGTTGATAAGCAATCTAGTACTTTAGGCAGTAATCTTAAGAAGTGTTGGCCTGCACAATAAGAAAATTCAGTTATTTTGTGCACAAACAAATAAATAAACTTGCACAGACACGTCACAGAGAGATATAAAACACCAATACCTGATGACTGAATTGCTTGTGTAAGAGCTCGGCAAGCTGCTGTGGATAAATTACCGTTCTCCATGTGCTCAGACCAGAAAAGTTTTTCAAGCATGGGCCAAAAAACTTGCAACAGTGCAAGCATACAATCATCTGCAGAAGGTCCACTCTGCATGGATGTTGCAAGATGACTGAATACGGTTCCCATCCTGAAATTAAAAACTAGAGTTTCAAAAGCTAGGGTAGAACAACATAATACATAAATCTGGAAAGAAAACAATGAATTCTCGAGCACATAAGATCAATATAATCCAAGAACAAAACATCCAGTGATCAACATGAAAATTGAAAAATAAAGGAAAAGATCAGTTTGCATTTGCCGGGATATTTTCTTATTTGGGAAATGCAGAACCTTTGCCTCCATACTTATTCTACAATTTTATGATCGTAGGAATGAGCTCAAGAACCAATGAAATTCAATGACTAAATACAGTTTCCTTCCTGAAATCAAACAGAGCTAAAGCTGAAGTAGAACGCAGTACATAGAATTGGAACAGAAACTAAGAAATCTTGAGCACATAAGGTCCAAATAATCTGAGAAGAACAAAACATCCAGCAACCAGCACGAAAACATAAAGAAAGAAGAACGGATCCCCCAACACCTGTCTGCATGTGATGGTTTATTTTTTACTTAGAAAAAATGCAAAACCTTCACCAAACTTTCAATTATCTTGTGTGTTGTACAATTCTATGATCTGATGAATAAGCCAGAGTACCGGTAAATTTCGATGACAAGGAACACCCACAATATTCCCTTCATAACAGAAACAACCTTGCACAGGCTCTAAATAACATGTATACACGAGTAAACAAGTAATCTTGTAGCATACCTGTAAAGTCCTCTTGCACAAGAGTTCAAAATTTGTGTGTATGTAGCAGGATTCTGTCTAAGACAATGGTTATTGTCCTCATCAACCTGAAAGAACATCAAGCCACTACTGCATATCAAACTGAGGGATGTTTATATCAGTAGTAGTAGCTCATTATTTCAGTATATAATTTTAAATGGACATCCTGAACCATGGCACTAGTCCTCTTGCAACCATATGATTTCAATCTAACAAATGAAAGGAAGGAAAAAAGACCAATAGCAGAAAAAGACTTGGAGTAAAAAAGATTCAGGTTGGCTGCTGTTACTGTAGCTCCTTGCTACAGGCTGTCCTTACAACCCCTTGGCCATCTCCTTCGTCCCTGGTGGCTGGCTGAGATGCCAGATTTTGCTTTCAAAGCAGGAGTGAGTGGATCTACTTCAGATGGCCCTTCCACTGGTGAGAAGAGAGCCCGAACACAGGAAATGGCTGATGTTGGTGGATCTGAGTCCCCTGAGCCTCCCCTTGCTCTGCCTCCGTTTTCGATGAGCTTCAAAGATAAGGTATCAGGGGATTTTGGTTTGGCCCAAGATAATTTTGTTTTTGGGGAAGATGATTTTGTAATAAAAAATGGACCAATTCCATCAATTGATTTCTCTGAGAAGGTGAAAGACTGCCTCTACAGACCTTGGCGGACAGCAGTGATTATTAAGCTCATGGGTCGCCCATTGAGCTATACTTTCCTGCGGAATCGTCTCCTTCAACGTTGGGCTCTAAAGGGTCCGATGAGCCTCATCGACCTGGATAATAATTTTTTCATTGTGAAATTCTTATTAGAGGAGGATATGAATTATGTGCTTACTGGAGGACCATGGCAAATTGCTGGCCAGTATTTGGCCACTCAAAGGCGGAAGCCTGGTTTCAATCCTAAAGAGGAACGGATCACCCATATGACTGCTTGGGTTCGGATTAATGGGTTAAATGTGGAATACTTCAGAACAGATATAATGGAAAAAATTGGCAATCTTGTTGGCCAAACTGTGAAAGTGGATGCCCATACCATGAGTCAAGCCAGAGGTAAATTTGCTCGGGTCTGTGTTGAACTTAATCTTGCTAAGCCGCTCACTCCTTTTATAGTTGTTGAAGGGCGTACTTTTGGGGTTGTTTATGAAGGAATTCAATTGGTTTGTTTTGAATGTGGCTGTTATGGGCATGGTAGAGATTCTTGCCCTGTTATCTTACAAACTAAAAAGCAAGAAACTGAATCAGCAAATTCTGAATCAGCAAATACTGAAAGCATGAAGGAGAATACAACAGCAGTTTCGGAAATTATTGAGAGTAAGGAGGAGACTACTCCAGTCAAGCAAATTGGTGTGGATAGTTTTAGTCCTGAAAACTTAGTTGCTGAAAACCCAGCTAAGATACACGGCCAATGGATGCTAATGAAGCCAAAGATTTCCACAAAGAAGAATCCTAGTGATCAGGGGCGAGGTGCAGATACTAGAAAGAAAATCTCTAAGCGTGATGGCAATGAACCCAATCTTGGTGCTTCTGGATCCAGGTTTTCTGTGTTGGATAATGGAGATAATAATGATATGGCAGTTGAGGAGCCTGTTGCTGCAATCTCTCCTCCTTCTGCAGACCAAAAGGCAAGCATGAGGAAGCCCAACCGTCCTTTCCAACCAGCAAACTCTAAGTTGAGTGGCTCAGGCAAACAAACCTTGGCTAGTCGAGACCCGAAAGGTTGGATGTCTAAGAAACCCCTCAAAGACATCTCTAACCAAGACACTCTTGGGGGTGATGGCAAGCCACCCAGCTCTGGTACTTGGGGACACCTGAAGAACAATTTTGGAGCTCGGCCTCTTGCTGCTGCTGGTCTCAGCTCGGTAGGGATGCAGGTTCCTGGAGCTGATGTTCAGGATGATATTGCAGGTAAATTCTCCTTTAATGTGACAAACCCTTTTACTGGGAACCTTATGGATAAGGGTACCAATCTTTCTGTACTTATACCTCCAGACCCTGGGAACAATGTTACCAAATCTTATGAGTCTTCTCCTCCTATGCTATCTTGTGACACTATGGAGATTAGTGAGGAACAATTTTTTCATGATGCTCATGATGTTGGTATGGGGGCTGATCTGCCTGTTGTCAATGATGCTCCCCGTTTGTGTGGAACTCAGCAAGGTGATTGTTAAGGGTTTTCCTTGGTCTGTCCCACCATCTTTTTTTCCAATGATTATTGTCTCTTGGAATCACTATGGAGATTAGTGAGGAACAATTTTTTCATGATGCTCATGATGTTGGTATGGGGGCTGATCTGCCTGTTGTCAATGATGCTCCCCGTTTGTGTGGAGCTCAGCAAGGTGATTGTTAAGGGTTTTCCTTGGTCTGTCCCACCATCTTTTTATCCAATGATTATTGTCTCTTGGAACGTTAGGGGTGCTGGAAAAACTGAATGTGCTTGTACTATCAAGGATTTAAAGAAGATCTATGCTATTGATGTTCTTGCTGTTTTAGAGCCTAGAATCGGTGGTTCTAGGGCTCTTAATATTGCTAAAAGTTTGGGTTTCTCTTGCTATCATATTGTTGATGCCACTGGTTTCTCAGGAGGAGTCTGGTTGCTTTGGAATGGTCCCTCTGTTTCTTTGCAGGTTATCTCTCATTCCAGCCAGACTATCTCAGCCTTGGTAACTATGGATGAAGGTTCTTGGATCCTCACTGTTGTTTATGCTAATCCGTGCCCGGGCATTAGAAAATCTCTCTGGAATTATTTAGATGGTCTGGCTTCTGCTTCTAATCTGCCTTGGTTATTCCTTTTGCACCGTTCCGTTTCCAAGCCATGTGGTTAAGCCACCCCAATTTTACTGATTTTATTACTGACCTTTGGCAGTCGGGGCAAGGTCATGCAGCCCAAAAAACTGCTAGTCTAGTTGTCCCTTTACATGCCTGGAATAAACATGTGTTTGGTTGTTTATTTCAAAAGAAAAGAAAAATAATGGCTAGACTTGCTGGTATTCAAAGGAACCTCTGTTTGGGTGCTGATATCTTTCTCAGTAAGCTTGAATCTGATTTATTGAAAGAGTACAACACCATTCTTGAACAGGAAGAATTGTTATGGCTCCAGAAATCGAGAAATACTTGGCTTAAGGAAGGGGATAGGAACACCAAATTCTTTCATTTGTCAACTATTATCCGTCGGAGGAGAAACAAACTTGAGGGTTTGAATAACGCTGATGGTGTGTGGATCACTGAAAAATCTGGTATGAAACAAATTATTACTGATTATTTCCAAGACCTTTTCTGTGGAAATACCGAGATTGGTGATTATTCTTTGTTACCGCAATTGTTCCTGAAGCCTGATGAAACTGTTTTGGTGGGGTTGAATGCTCCTGTCTCTGATTTTGAAATAAAAGATAGCTTGTTTACTATTGGTGGCTTAAAAACTCCTGGTCCTGATGGCTTTCCTGCGGTGTTCTATCAAACTTATTGGGACCTTTGTTCTAATGACATTACTTCCCTCATTAAGGATTGTTTTGCTACAGCCTCGCTTCCTGACCAATTGAATTCTACCCTAATTGCCTTGGTCCCTAAAGTTGAAAGACCTGTGACTATGTCTCAACTGAGGCCTATTAGTCTGTGTAACACCCTTTACAAGGTAGTCTCCAAGATCCTCATTGCCAGGCTCAGACCTCTTATGTCCAAATTGGTTAGCCCCACCCAAGTGAGTTTCGTTCCGGGAAGGCAAATTGTTGATAATTTTGTTGTTGCTCAGGAAGTCTTGCATAAATTCAAAATGACGAAAGGAAAAACTGGCTTCATTGCCTGGAAAGTTGATCTCTCCAAGGCTTATGATCGTCTAAGTTGGAGGTTTATCAAAGATGTGTTGTGGGAGATTGGTTTGAGAGGCAGATTCCTTGAGTTGATAATGCAATGTATCAACTCTGTGGATTATAAAGCTATCCTTAATGGTGAATTAACAGCTGCTTTCTCTCCTACTTGTGGCATTCGTCAAGGAGATCCTCTTTCTCCCTACATCTTTGTTTTATGCATGGAAAAGCTTTCTCATATCATCCAAAAGAAGATTCATGATCAAGGGTTTTTTTTTTTTTTTTTTGTGGTGGTAAAGGATCTTTTTAAGGTTAGAAAATAATTTCTTTAAATAAAAAAAAACATTAACACGCTAATTAAAATCATGTCGTTTTTTTTCTCTGAAAAACAAAACCATGTCGTTTTCTTTTACAGAAGTTTCTGATGTCTTGCTTGCTCCCTTGAGTTTGCGTTCGTCTCTCTCTCCCTTATCAAACGAATTTGATAGCATATTGCCAAGCCCCTCTGAAATTTCCAACGGGTTGTTGATTAGATAATGGCTACTGAGTTTGATGTTTGTGAATTTGGTCACTTTTTTTTGCTAGTTCTCTCTCTTCATCTTTCTCCCTCTTATTAATTACCATTTTATGATTGTTGAATTTAGCAGATATCAGTTTCTTCATCACTTTAGGTTTAAATCTACCCAACTGAGATGGGAAATAAGGTAGATAAAAAGTAAGAAATCTGTAACGGGTCCTTTGCTTATGTTTTTTTATGAAATATTACTCAGGTCAAAATGAAAGAGGGAGCTAGTGCGTGGAGCGGTATCCTCTTTGGTGCTCAGATTATTCCTCATGGTACCAAATGGAGGGTGGGTTCTGGTGATACTATCAGATTCTGGACTGATAATTGGCTTAGCTGTGGGCCTTTGATCCAATATGCTACTATTGACATTTCTGAAGATATGCTCCTTCTTAAGGTTAGTGACTTTTTTGCAGACAACACATGGAATGTTAATTGCTTACTGGAGCGTCTGCCTGCTCATATTGTCCACTTGATCCTTTGTGTGCATGCTGGTTTTCAAGACAGTGGTCCTGATAGATGCATCTGGAATCTCACTACTAATGGTAAGTTTTCTGTTAAAACAGCCTATGACATTTCCACCATTAATGATGATCCTTTGACGTGGTCTTGGAACTTTATTTGGAAGCTTCACATTCCTATTAGAATTAAAACCTTCCTTTGGGTTCTTTGTCATAAGAAACTTCTTACCAATGTTCAAAGACAGAAGAGGGGGATTGGTCAGGACACTTCCTGTCCGAGGTGCTCCTCTCATGTGGAATCCCTTGATCATCTGTTTATTGATTGCACTACTACTCAATTAATTGGGAAGGATTTTTGGGAGGATGTTGAGGCTCCTAATTTCCCAATGGTTGACTTTGATTCTTGGCTTCTTAAAAACTTAAAATCCCACAGAACCTTTCATAGTATTCCTTGGTCGTTGGTCTTCACAGTTTATATTTGGTTTGTTTGGAAATGGCGTTGTAAGGTGGTCTTTGAACAGAATTTTTCGACTCCGCCTAACTCTCGTCAAATAATTTTGAATTATGCTATGGACTGGTTTACTGTTTGTAATCATACTCCTGATTCTGTTGTGATGCGTCTGATTCAGTTACATTGGATTGCTCCCAGGCATGGGATCTGTAAAATCAATACTGATGGTAGCAGGAAAACTGAAACGGGTTGTATTGGTGCTGGTGGTATCTTGAGAGACTCCACTGGCAAGTGGTTAAATGGTTTTTCTGTGAATCTTGGGGTTGGGACAATCCTAGAGGCTGAACTGTGGGGTGTTTTTTGGGGCCTCAAGTTGGCTTGGAATATGGGTTTCAGAGTTGTGGAAGTTGAATGTGATGCTAGCTCTGTGGTGGCCCTCCTTCAGAATGCTCCTATGTATGATCATCCTCTTTTTAGTCTTCTAAACTGCTGTCATCTGAAGCTTCATGATGACTGGACTTGCTCTCTTACCCATATCTACCGTGAGCAAAATCGTGCTGCTGATCTTCTGGCTACCAAAAGCTATGATCTCCCTCTTGGACCTCATATTTTTGACTCGGAGCCTGCCTTTCTTAGCACTGTCCTTGCTGCTGATACTAGCAATGTGGCTAGTCCTCGTCTAATTCCCTTATAGTTGTTGTTTCTTTGTTTGGGCGTTTGCCCTCCTTTGCACCAAAAAAAAAAAAAGGAAGGAAAAGGAACCATGGCACTATTCACGCTACACTCTGACTGAAAGATCTAGAATTAATTCATTTAGGAAAAAAATTGGTTGAAGATCTACATTTTGCATGGACACAAAATTTTAGGTCTGGCTTTGTATGACTGCTGGAAACCTAAACCCTAGACCTTCAAAATGTATGACTGTTGGAAACCTAATTGAGACCATGTTTACTTAATCAGGAATGGGTATTGGAATTATTCCAATTTCTGCTTCCCCTGTGTTTACCAACATAAGGGTATTAGAATTAATCCAATTCATGACTTCCCTGCGTTTACACACAAGGAATAAAAAATTATCTAGGTTCCATGTTAAAAGAATTACACCAGAATGACAGGCAAGTGATATAACATATAGAAGGTACCAATATATAAAAGAATTACAATTGGTCAAATTATTGGTTGGTAGCATTCTGCTCTACTAGCCTGTAAACGAAATAACGAGAGACCACCTTATTTTCAATACTTTATGTTTTATAAACCAGAAAAAACTAACTGTTAGTTGAATAGAAAATAACCAAATGATCACACCAAAATGACAGGCAAGTGATATAACATAGGAGGCCCCAAAAAAAAAGAAAACAAAATACTTACAAGTTTCCCAATAGCTTCAAAGCTAGAAGAAAGCAACCTAGCCAATAAGTTGCTCTTTAATTCTTTGTTAGTTATAGAACCAAGGATAAGACTAACAGCACTAACAACTTCTTCCTCATCTTCCATTGGTAACTGTCTCTTCTCCAAACCCTAAAAAAACGAGGACACTATTTACAGGCCAAGGACTGTGAAAGAATGTATGCAAATAAGAGAAAAACCTGGACACCTGTACATGAATTAGCAAAACTTGCAACAATAAGGGACAAATTTTATAAAACAATTGGAAATTGGGAAACCAAAGAAAATCCTTAGCCATCTGATTGGATGGAAGATCATTTATTGTATATGCCTAATTCTGCATATGTAATTTTAACAGTAATAGATATATTGACATAACTAGAATGCATGAGCAAAGCATTCACTTTAATCAGGAAGCAAGAACACAAATCAAATGTGAACCAAAAATTTGTAAAATGAACGTGATTAACATAAATGTTAAGAATGGATTATAGTCAGAATAATTCACCTCTCCTATCCACATCAGAATCTCCAAATTCGAAGCTTCACACATGAATGCAGAAGAATCGTCACAAACCTTACGCAAGGCAGAAGCACAAGAACTCGAGGACAGGGGTTCTGATATTCCAGCAGCAAGAAATAATCTAAAAAGCAAATCAGCCGAGAAAAGGAAATTGTTAATGCAAATATGTTTTAACAAATAAGGCACATATTATATCCTTCTCCACAATGGTTTACCAAAAGACAGTAATGAAGCCGAAAGCACTTGGAAGAAGAGAGTACAAGAAGAAAGGACTTACAGTAAAGGTCTAGCATTTGTTTGGAAAGCAGATATCCACTTCGAATAGGAGCCAACAACATCCGCAAGAGATCTATACACCTGAATTGAAAAAAAAGTCCACAGGACATACAAATCAGTGAGGGAAAACAAACTAAATTATTGAAAAC